CTTCATAACTGAGCCTCGTACCATGGCCCAAGTAAAGAAAAATAAAAAAAAATAAAAAAGAAATTTGAAATACCTCACAACCAATGGTGCATTATATACATACCACACATTTTTGTTGAATTTACACACCTAACACCTAAATTTTTATTTTTACATTTGTAACACTCAAATCTTTTATATTTCATCGAACATATCATCTATAGCTAACTTTTTAAAAGTTAAATGCATATTCTCATGCATAAGTGAAGCAATATTAATGTAAATATTAAAATTTAATTATTAGATATATAAATGGATAAGTTGTATTGATGCATTCTTCGGGTCCATGCAATTACACATGCATGCATATGCATTTTGATACAATACAAGATTACATTGATTTTAGTCAAGTTAATTTAAAGGGATATTTACATACATTCCCCAAAGTTCCCATACATTTAATATAAGACTCTGTTTGGGGCAGCGTATTTGGTGCGGTGGCGTTTTAAAAACGCACCTGGCCTGTTTGGGTAAACTGTGTTTTGGCAGCTTATGTTTTTTTAAAACGCTGAAAACAGCGTTTTCACATCGCACCTACCTAGGTGCGGTGGCAGCTTTCTGGCAGCGGTCTGACTTTTCCAAAAAAATAAAAATTTATAATAGCCGTCGCACCTAGCTTATCAGTAGATTATTTTTAATCAGTTTATCAACAGATTATTCAATAAGCTGCAGCTGCTCCAAACAGACCTCAAGTGTAATGAATAGTAATCTTATTTTTCAAAACTTAATTCTGCTTTATATGTAAGAAAAATGCATGGTATATATATAATAATACCTATAAATCAATATCATGTGGTGGGATGTTGCTTCTAGAAACCCTAAATTAGATAAAATGGTGGGGCTTTCATTGTTGAGTTTCCTTTGAGTGAAAGCAGCTTCTGGTGAGCCTTTTCTTTCTTGCAAGACATGGCTAGCTTAGTAGTAATTAATTAGCTTGATTAAGTAATAAGCTAAAATTAGTAATACATTTATATGTTTTGTTAGTTGGTGAACTTTAGAAAAGCAATTATTGATTTTTGAAGATGACACAATGCTTCCATTATTTGCTCTTAGACAGGTGTCACAATAATAGAATTTAGGAAGATTTGCATGGATGCCATTAAATAATTTTTTATATCGGCATACTCAGTATATATAATTTTTAATTTTTATATATATGTCATCTTCTCTATGTATAAAAATATGTATTTTACTTTTTAAAATTAAATAATATATTTTTTATTTAATATGAAAGCAAAAAAATTCACACAAAAATAATCAAATACAAATATTTATGTGATTCAGCGTTAAACAATTTCGCCTACGTCTACGGAGATCGAGATTCCACTAGCATTGGCTAGAGAGAAAAAAATGACAGACTAGAGTTACACACTCTTCTCACAATTACTCTCTTATAAGCACCAAGTCATTTTTTATAGAGTTGAAATAGGACATACTAGTAAATAAAATCAAAAAACAAAATACTCCTAATTGTAATAAAACTAAATAATGTCATAAATACAAAAATCTCCGCCTCATATTTTACTTCAATATGGGTAAGAAATGACCAAATGAGCTTTAAACTTCAATTTATCTCACCAAAATGGTTGCCTACGAGCCCCCCACCCGAAGAGATCAAGCCTCCTAAATAATTAGTTCTGAGCTCGGATGTTCATTAATTCTCTGGAGTATGTGAATTTCTAGACCGATAGTACCTTCATGAGCATGTTCGTTGGATTTTTCTTTATATATATCTTCTTTAACATAACCTTGTCTTCTTCAATCAAATCTCAAATAAAGTGGTACCTCACATCAATGTGTTTTGTACGAGCATGATGAACTGGATTTATGTCTAAGAATATCACACTCTATCTATCATAGAATAGCTTCAAAGACTCTTGATTAACTCTAAAGTCATTTATTAGGCCCAACATCCATGTTCTTTTCCTTCATTGCCTTTGTTATTGTCATGTACTAAACCTCTGTAGTAGATAGAGCAACAATAGACTGAAGGACTGACCTCCAATTGACTGGAGTTCAAACAAATGTGAATAAATAACCAGTTGCAAATCTCTCTCTATCTATATCACCTCACAATCTGAGTCAGTGTAGCTTACACATAAATTTGTGTTGGATGATTGCCTCTCAAACACCAAGATAATATCAATTGTACCCTCTGATACCTAAAAGTACTCTTCACAGTCTGTCAATGACTTCTTTATGAATTATGCATGAACCCACTCACATCACCAGCTGCTTGTGCAAAGCCCAATGTTCACTGCACTAACATAAGGAACTGATTGCACATATTTCATTTTCTAATTATCTTTAAGACATTGTTCTGAACTCAACTAAAAATGAGATGCAATTGGTAGACTCACCACCTTGCTCAAGTCATCAACCACAAATTCCTTCAGCACATTCCGAACATAAGCTCCTTGAGAGAGCCAAACATTTCCAGCTTCCTTGTCCCTAAGAATATCCATGTTAAGAATTCTGCGAGCTTCACAAACTCCTTCATTTTGAGTACTTATACGTGTAATATTGATTTATTTTCATGAATTATATGTTCATTGTGACCGATGTTGCATAAAATAAAGATTTTGATTTATTTCAGTCTGTTCTACATGGAATTAAAATGTGATAATAATTTTTAAATAAATTTTAATTTTTTTGGTTGGATGAAAATTAAAACTGAGTCGAAAATCAAATATTAAAGTTTTATAAATTAAAATTGAAATATATTATTAAAACTGAATCAAATCAACTAAATTTGATCGATTTCGATCTTTTAATTTTGACCAAATAATTGACGTCCCCATAACTAGGTCAAATTAGTGCATTTGCCAACTTATTTATCATTAAGGTGAGACTTGTTTTGATTCATAGATATGCTAAAAAAATAAATTAGATAAAAATAATAACTAAACATTTATTATAAGGTGATTATGTAATTTTAAATAATTTTTAATAGCATTATACTTTAACTCGTGAATTATAATTTTTTTTTAAATTTTTATTTTTATTAATATTTTTTTAAACTAATAAACATATGATCATTCAACATGTACGGACAACAACCCGGATGAGATCATGCCACTGTGCATCCGCACATGGCCCTCTTGGATTGTCGTTAGGGGTGTAAACGAGCCGAACTTGAGTGTCTGGCTCGTAAAAAAATATAATTGTTTACGTTTAACTCGTTTATATTTCGAAAAAAAAATGTTCATGTTACCTTATTTTGTCAGCGGGCCGAACACGAGTTGTTCGCAAACAAATAGTCATTTTGACAACCCTAATTACGCAACTACAAGATGTTAAATATTATGATGAAATTTAAATCTTATTATTTATATTAAAATATCATTTAAATATAATTTAATATATTTTATTATATTTTTTAAATTAATAATTTTAATTTATTATAATTTTCTGTAGTCAAGCAATCAATTAGATTTTTTTTAAATATTACTCACCAATTATATATATATATATATATATATCGAGTCATAATGAGTTGAACACGAAAGAACAAATATTCATTCA